TTAATCTAGACCAACAAGTTGGAATGAAGTGCATGGAAAATCATAAGTCAAGGGACAAAGACTGTTGCATATTCCTTTCCACATTGAGGGGGAGGCGACCTGGATAATAAATTCATAGTAGTTGTGGTTTGGACCAGGGCAGGACGGTACAGCTCTGGGCCATAGGGTGGGAAGCTGGTGGTTACATTGGCTGTAGCCTCTCTATTATTGGTTCATGCAGGGGCTGGTCAGAGAGCCTGCAGGTAACTGCAGCTAGGTGTGTCCCTAGCTGTATGAATGCTGGTGGATGTTTAGGACAGGGAGTGGGTCTGCAACTTGTCACAGCAGCTCAGTGAGAGAGGGAGCCTAGGCTGTTGGGTCAGAGGGCTCAGTGGTACCCCAGTTCCAATTGGCATCCTGGGGGGAACCCGTTACAAGACCATTGTTCAATATTTGTTCCCTTCATAGGTATTTATAGACTGTAATCAATTCACTCCTTAACCTTCTTTTTGTTAAACTAAATTGAGCTCCTTAAATCTGTCACTATAAGACATATTTTCTAATCCTTTAATCTCATGGCTCTTCTCTGAACCCTCTCCAATGTACCAACAACCTTCTTGAAGTGAGGACACCAGAACTGGACACGGTATTCCAGCAATGGTTGCCCTACTACCAAATACAGAGGTAAAACAGTCTCTCTCCCTGTCCCCCTTCTCAAGATACTTTTGTTTATGCACCAAGGATTGCACTTGCCCGTTTGGCCACAGCACTGCAGTGGGAGCTCATGTTCAGATGATTATCCACCAAAACCCGCAGTCTTTTTTCAGACCCTCACAATGCAGGACTATCCTGGGAAGCCATAAGTATGGCCTACATTCTTGGTGCCTAGATATATACGTTTAGTCATATCAAAATGCATACTGTTTGCTTGAGCCCAGGTTTCCAAGTGGTCCAGGTCACTCTGGATCAGTTACCTGTCCTTTTCATTATTTACTCCTCCCCCACTTTTTGTGTCATCAGCAAACTTGATCAGAGATGATTTTATATTTTCTTCCAGGTCATTAATAAAAAACGTTAAATAGCATAGGGCCAACCCTGCAGGACTCCAGGTACCCATTCCCTGTTTACAGCTTTTAATTCATTTGATGCATTCCATGTTAATTTTATATCTTTCTAATTTTTTTTAATCAAAATGTCATGTACCAAGTCAAAAGCCTTACAGAAGTTCAGGTATATTACATCAACACTATTACCTTAATCAATTAAACTTAGAATCTCCTAAAAATATATCAACTTAGTTTGACAGGCTCTACTTTAATGCCCATCAACATGGGTTTACAGAATTATATTCCTTCCCCTTTAATTATTTAATAACCGAGTCCTGAATCAGCTGTTCCATTTTCTTGCCTGCAATCCATGTCAGACTGACAGGCTTATAATTATCTGGGTCATCCCATTTACTCTTTTTAAATATTGGTGCAACATCAGCTTTCTTCCAATCTTCTGGAATTTTCCTGGTGTTCCAAGACTTATTGAAAATAAACATTAATGGTCCAGTTAGCCCTTTAACTTTCATCCAAGACTTTAAAAGGGCTGGCTATCTGGATCTCCTGACTTAAGAGTGACTACTTTTAGTAGCTGCTGTTTAACATCCTTCTGAGAGGGTGGAATGGAAAGACTGTAGATGATGTTCCTTCCCCCAAATAAATAACAGAAATATGTAACAAACTCTTCCGCATTATTATTGATAATTCTATGATTTCCCTCTATTAATGGACCAATAACAGTTAGAATTATTTTAGTTCCTAATATGCTTAAAAAACTCCTTCCTATTGTGTTTAACTCTGCTGGCCATAGATTTCGCCTTGTCTCTTTGTTTCCCTTATCAATTTTCTAGAATTCCTAGCTTCTGATTTAAATTAATGACTATCAACTTCCCACTTCTTCCATTTTATTCTATAATATATTTTTTTAATTTTCTATATCTGCCTTCACTTCCTCTCTAAACCAACTTTTTTAAAATAACCAATGCAGCCTTTTTCCTTGGTTGTGTCTTTTTGGGCATCTAGTAAAATGTTCTTAAACAATTCCCAATTATCATACATATTTTTCTGATAAAATTCTTCCTCTGAACTGATTTAGCTCAATTGTTTCCAGCTTTGTGAAATTGGCCCTTTTAAAGCACCACTTGAAAATAATAGCCCCCTTCTCCCCTCACTGAAAGGCAGGGACACTGGGGCCCTTTGTCTCCCTGGGAGAGCTGCCAGGAGCTTTGTTTATCTCAGCAGCTGGAGTGCATCTGCTTGGATGGGTGCTGCATTCTTGTTCTCCTACTACCCAGAGTTCTCTGCTGGACTGGTGTTGGCATGGCACTCCAAAGCAGTGAGTCTTGGTGTTAATACCTCATTGAGATAAATGGGGTAGTACATCCATCTTAGAGCTGTTGTCTTAGGCTCTAGACTCTATAGACCTATTCAGACATCAGTGCATTGGATACACTCAGGTCATCTTTTCAACCTATTCTTTCCAACTAGAAGGGCTAGAAACTTCTCTTAAAAAAATAGATAAAAACAGATTCTTATGTAATAACATGACTCCTAGGGCTCTAGGCATGGGCCTCTAGTGCCTACACCTTAATCTGGCCCCAGCTATCAATGAAGATATGGAAGCTAATACAAATGACAAGGTGCATGTATTCCCCACAGAGTCTTGCAGCAAGGAATTAAACTCTTTCACTAGCGTTAAGAGAAGAGAACTAGCTCTTTCAGGTACAGTATCTTGTATGGCAGGCACGGGACACCAAATGAAGTGGATTGTCCAGCAGTGTCAAAGACCCTTATGTGCAACATGTACTAAACACTTGGGAGGCAGGTCAGTGGAAGAACTCAGAATGAGATTCTTCAGGTTTCTGGAAAATGCCTTCTTCATACTGAGCATTCTCTGACATTTAACAAATACATAGCAAAGTCACTGCTGTACTAGCGTTACATCATCTCATTTGCATGGTCCCTATCTATTAGCAGGGAGTATGTCTACACTGCAGCTGGAAGCGAACATCCCAGGCCCAGCTGGGTAAGCCTGCTCACACTAGCTTGGCATGAGCTAGCACGCTAAAAATAGTAATGTGGACGTTACCACTTCCGAGGCGACTCAGACCCTTGAGAGCCTGAACTGCAATAACCACACCATGCTGCTATTTTTAGTGTACTAGCTTGAGTGGAGCTCGCGTGAGTCTGTCTGCTTAGGCTGGGCACCTTGCTCCCAGCTGCAATGTAGACATACCCATAATGGTGTGCATGCTGTATTCTTGTACAGAGGAGGTTCTAAGTTAGTAGTTCTCAACCAGGGCTCTGAGGGCCTCTGGGGGTGTGTGTGAGCAGGTTTCAGGGGGCCTGCCCAGCAGGGCCAGCAATAAGACTTGCTGTGGCCCAGGGCAGAAAGCCAAAGCCCTGCCACATGGAGTTGAAGCCTGGGCCCTGAGCCCTGCCACTCAGGACTAGGGTGACCAGATGTCCCGATTTTATAGGGACAGTCCTGATTTTTTGGGCTTTTACTTTATATAAGCCCCTATTATCCCCCACCCCCTCCCAATTTTTTCACACTTGCTATCTCATCACCCTACCCAAGACTGTTGCCGAAGCTTCATAAAGTAATAGTAAAAAGAACAGGAGTACTTGTGGCACCTTAGAGACTAACACATTTATTAGAGCATAAGCTTTCGTGGGCTACAGCCCATTTCTTCGGCTGCATATAGAGTGGAACATATACTGAGGATATATATATACACACATACAGAGAGCATGAACAGGTGGGAGTTGTCTTACCAACTCTGAGAGGCCAATTAAGTAAGGGGGGGGGGAACTTTTGAAGTGATAATCAAGATAGCTCAGTACAGACAGTTTGATAAGAAGTGTGAGAATACTTACAAGGGGAGATAGATTCAATGTTTGTAATGGCTCAGCCATTGAATTTAGTGCTTGTGGAAGGTGACAGCCTTGGAACATTGTCTTCTATCAGTAGGGCAGTTGGTACAACTCTGCAACTGATGATACTATATGTTCCCCTGAAACTCAGCACAGCTCTATTTCATCACTAAACTAGCACTTAATTCTGAATGCTAGTGACAATTTAACACCTATTAGGATGAATGAGGGAATCTTTTAGAGCTACTGCATGTTTAGATGTTGACTGTAGGATGGCACTGCATCTGTTCACATTTGGAAGGTTCTATTTGCAACTGTATGACCTAGAGACTTCTTAGACAAGGACAAAGTCTCAAGGGTAAGTGATAGGGCCCCAAGAGCCATGCAGCTGCAAGTTACCGCTCTGTGATAGCCGTGACACAGGTTGGAAAGCCTACTGCTGAAGGCTGTGAAACTAGTTTACTCCCCAAATGTGCTGAGATTATCAGCAGGGTGGCATAGTGTTAGTAGTCCCCCAGCTACCAAGGGGGCTGAGGTGCCCCTGCTGTGCAAGGGGAGTCTGGCCCCAGAGTCCCTGCTCTTGATGTGTCCAGTCTCCCTTCAATTTAGGGTGCGGGGAGACCAAGACAGGCCCTGCACAAAGGGGCTTTTACGCTCCCCGCCAACTGAAGGGGGTGAATAGGGCTCAGTTTCCTGCCCATGGGGGGGGGGGGGGGGGGGGGAGGCGGAACGATGCCCGTTGTCTGGGCTTGGTCCCTTCTAGGCCGGGGAGGGCAGCACAGGGCCGCCCATGGCGCCTCGTGGCTGGGAAAGAGACGCTTCCTTCCTCTTTAAACACCCCCGCCTCCGGAGTACCCTACGTGACGCAATGACGCAGGCAGGCGGGTGGGGCTTGCCGGTTGCGACATTTCCGCTTCTCTTAGTGGTGGTGTGCTTCGGAGAAGAGAGCAGCACGCAGAGTGAGCGGGACGTGAGTATCGCATCGCTCTCGCGCCCCCTCCTCCCCGGGGGGCCGCGCGCCTGCACCCGCCGCCATCTTATATCCCCCTCCCCCCCAGCTGCGGGCCTGTCGTGCCGGGGGAGGGGTGGTCTGGCAGCTCCGCGCTCGGACCAGGCGGGAGGATGAGCCGCCGCGTCTCGAACGCTGGGGAAGGCTCGGCCCGCGGGATTCCCGTCGAGCTCCTGCTCTGCCCAGTGCCGTGGGGTAGGAAGACCTTCTCCCGGTCACCGTTGGGGCGGCGCTGCGTCAGGAGACGCTGCCATGTTTGGGGGGCAAAGAAAGCTCATCCGAACGAGGGAGAAAATGGCGGCGGGGAACCGCCTACCCCCATCCCCCACTGCGCGACCCACTCCCGTTCTCCACTCCATGACATGACATGACGGCCGCCCCCCACGCCGTGAGCCGCCCCCGTCACCCACCCCGTCCGCCCTCAGTGATTCGGTGTCGCGTCTCCCTTTCTTAACCCGTCCCGTCTTTGCCCCATTCTCTAGTCATTGGGGGGAGGGGAGCGTCTGAACGAGGGAGAAAATGGCGGCTGGGAACCGCCTCCCCCCTTTCTCTGCTGTGTTTGTAGGCTGTCCCCCATTCTCTACTCAGAGACCTGCCCAGTCTCATCTCCCTCCATTCCCCTTTCAGTGACTCCCCTCCACCCCATTTTCCTCTGGGTGCCCCATATCCACTCCCACCTCGTGACCCGTATCCCATCCCTATATACTAGATAACCTTGCCTCTGAATGACCCATTCGATCCCCATTGCCATGTTACTCCATATGGTCTCTCCCTAATCTGAACCCATCCCCTATATTATTCCCCATTGGTTCTCTATCCCCCTCACCCCATTCTCATTCTTGGTGCCCATTCCTTCTTCTTTCCTTCATGCACCTTTTGCCATCTTCCCCCCCTTTTAAAAAATTCGGTACTGTTGCCTGCACACTGTATCAGACTCACTGGCCTACCTTCTTTCATCCTGTTCCCCACCCACGTAGTGGGTCCTGCCCCTCTTCAACACATTTCCAACCCTATAACATGGCAGACCGTTTTTTTCCTCTCATCCCTTTTGTAACCCCCAGCACATTCCAATTTCCTATTCTCCGTCCTCCTCACCTGTGTTCCATTTCCCCTCATGTTGGCTGCTTTTTCACCTGACACTGTTCTTTCCCCACATGTATTCATTCCATATGTCAGGGGTGGCCAAACTTATTGACCCCCTGAGCCACAGAAGACAACCTTTAGAAGTTCGAAAGCCAGGACAGGCCTGCCGCATGGGGTTGAAGCCCTGAGGTCCCCTCCCCATTGGATAGAAGCCCCTACCCCACCACCCTGCTGTAAGGCAGAGGTCCTGAGCCTCCTCGCTCCCCACCAAGTCTGGTAGGTGGCGAGTTGGGGGCTCCATGAGCCACACTTTTTAACTGTAAAAGAGCCACATGCTGCTCATGAGCCAGTTTGGCTACCCATGCCATATATTATTGTGCCTTCATCCTAAAACACTACCTTGTACTATGTTATTGCCCTGATAATCATCCTCCCCTTACTTGACATAAACCAGTAGTCCACATACTCCCCAATCTCCCACTATAATTCCTTCCTTACCAACTATTCCCCTTTATAACATACTTTTCTGCTTTGTTCTTTCAAAAGCTGGAAAGGTATTAAAAGCAATTAATTAGAATCCTTCCTGTGCCTCTTCTCTACATGGAATACTAGATGTTTATATACTATATCAATAGGTTTGCAGAGTATACGCATCTGGCAGTATGCCTTCAAAAAGATATGGATTTCCATGCATGCCTAACTAATGAAAATTGGGCCGTAAGCGGTTTGCCTGAGATCACCTAGGAAATATGTGGCAGAACTGAGGATACAATTTTAGATATTCTCACCTAAATGTGGCTTAACCGCAACACCATATTTTCTTTTAATTTCTTGAAACATAGGTAGAAAAGTTTATAATGATGGTTCTGTATCTGTTTACCAGTACTTGTCATTCTGTGACCTGGAAATCAAAGTAGACAAAATAACAATACATAAGAGTGAAGGGAGTCATTTGCTAGATAATGCTGTACCCATATGTTTTGTGACATTAATTGAAAACTTCAGTTTGTTTTGATAATAAATTAAATCCTTAGTAACTCAGGGCTAGTCTACACTACCCGCCCAGATCGGCGGGTAGAAGTCGATCTCTCGGGGATCGATTTATCGAGTCTCATCTAGACGGATAAATCGATCCCTGAATCGACGCGCTTACTCCCACCTCGTCAGGAGGAGTAAGTGCCGTTGACGGGGGAGCCGCGGCGGTCGATTCCCCACTGTGAGGACGGCGGCAAAAGTCGAATAGGATACGCCGAATTCAGCTACGCTATTCGCGTACCTGAATTTGCGTATCTTAAATCGACCCCCCCCTTAGTGTAGACCTAGCCTTAGACTGAGCAGTTTATTACTATTTTGTGCACCCCAAAATGTGTTAAGTGTAGCACAAATCAAGTAAAAACGGAGGCCGGGTCTACGCTATAAACGTACATCAGTATAACTACCTCCCTCAAGGGTCTGAACAATCCACACCCCTGAGCAACGTAGTTATACCGACCTAATCCCTGGTGTAGACAGCGCTATGTCAACGGGAGGGCTTCTTCCATTGACATAGCTACTGCCTCTTGCAAAAGTGGATTAACTACACTGACGGGAGAAGCTCTCCCTTCAGTGTAGTAGTGTTTTCACTGAAGCGCTACAGTGGTGCAGCTGCTGCTGATGCAGCGGTTTAAGTGTAGACCTGCTCTGAGTCCTTGTCCTGAAGAAGTTTCAAAATAAGTGAGACAGTACACAAATGAAGGGAATGGATCAAAGGAAAGGGAGATGAAGGACTAGGGTGATAATGAGATCACAGTTGCTCAGATAGACATATATTGAAGTTTCCTGCCACTTCCTGTTGACTTCAAATAGAAGATATTTGAATAAGATGAGAGAAGAGGCTTAGCAAAGGGGTTTGGGGTGTGCATTCCAATCATAAAGGGCAGTGTTTCCGGTATGATATTTTCACAATATCTTTCTTCTCTCCAGAATGCCTAAATCAAAGGAACTTGTGTCTTCAAGCTCATCTGCCAGTGATTCAGATAGTGAAGTTGACAAAAAGGTGAATATTGGACACAATTGTTTACTGCATTTTAGTCTAGTCATTAAAAAACAAAACACCAAACAAACTTCTTCTGGATTTGATTAGGAGGCAATTCAATTCTGATGGAATATGTACACCATGCTATTTGTGTTGCCTAGCTCTTTTGTTAAAACTGGGATCAGTGGTGGGAAGGTGAGATGCTTCTAAATATGGAATGAATCTATTTTTTTTAAGATTGATTGGCTTTGTATCCTTAGTTATTTCACTTGTGGCATCTAACCACAAGGTTCTTGTAGTTCTGTAGATCTGTGGTGAGAGCAAGAATACTAAACCATTTTAGTTCCCTTGCTCTGTTAACATTTCTTTTCCTCCTAAACAGCTGTGAAAGCTGATGTTGCTAAACATGATTGTTTAGCTTCTCAAGCCCATCAAGGGTTGATATACACGCTGGGCTACAATGATTGTAGTGAGCATTCTGCATTTGAAGTGCTGGCTGAGTTTTCTGTAGATAGGACAAAACAGTATTAGTTTATGTATATTCTGTAGTTCACTGCAGATACTAAAGGTGTGGAAGCATGAAGATCTTGGAGTGCTGTGTGTAAATTAGTAACAAAATGGTAAAGTCAGAATAAAAGAGAGATAGGAACATTCTTTCCCTTCTTCTCTCTCTCTTGAATTGGGGAGATGTAAAAAGTGCAAGGTGAGTGTGTATAAAAAGAAAATGTACTGTCCACCTCAATTTTATTTAGATCTTCTTTGAGTTCCAAAAGATAGAGTTTACAAAAGTGCTTATTCTCCTAAATCTGTTCCTCTTGGAGTCCAATGAGAGTTTTACCATTGACTTAGAGCACTTCTGAAAATCCCACCCCAAATTCACTGTATTAAAGTCTTGTATTGGTAGTGAGATGAACTACATAATAGAATAGTTCTTTGCAGCCTCTAATTTCTTCTTTTAATAACTAATAAAATGGGATGTGCTTTGTATTTTTGGTTTAAAGGCAAAGAGGAAAAAGCAAGCAGCTCCAGAAAAGCCTGTAAAGAAACAAAAGACTGGTGAAAGTTCTAAAGGTGCAGCTTCCTCTAAACAAAGCAGCAACAGAGATGAGAATATGTTCCAGGTAATCTTGATAATGCTCCTTCTAGAGGCTGTTGATTGAAGGGTTCCTGAGGAAGCATGTTATAGTTTGTATTCTGTAATCTTTATGAAGAGAACTTTGAATGCTTTGGTTTTTTATCCAGGTATAGCATAGCATTCAATCTCTTGTCATCTTTTGGCTAAATATGGTTACAATGTTAGAGTGAAAGTGAGATTACCAAATCTCATCATTGTTTTTTCTGGGTGAGTAAAATAATCCATGCTATGCCATTCAATTCGAACTTTGGTTCATTGATTGTATCACTTGTTCCCAGTATTTTGTCTTGGTTTATAGTGTCATTTTTTGAGAGTTAGGCATTTCTATTGTAAACTCTATTAATAGACTTATAATTAGGCTGTAAATGTTAATTCAAAACCAGATCTATATGGGAATGCTTTTAATCAGGGCACTTTGACAAGAGGTTCCCAGAAATCAGTATGACTTCTCCTCTGTCTACCCAACTAGACCAAGAGCAGCTGTCAGAGCTCTCACTGTACCAGACAGAGTCTCAGGATAAGTTTGTCCTTCAGTTTATATGTGCTCCTTTATTCTGTGGTTCAGTTTTTACTAACAGAATATCAGAGAAGATTGAAACAGATCTTCATGGACAACTGCTAGTGGTATTTGCAACGGAGTGTGCTGGCCTCTTTAAGACAGGCCCGGGGTTCAATACTATCCTATTTCTGCAATGAGGCATTCAGGGTATTGCAGTTCCTGAGGATATCTGGGAGTTGTAAGCCTTACATCAGTCCGTGTGCTGAGAAAGGAGCAGGAATATAACGATTCAGTTTTCTCTTCCTCATTGCAAGAAAGATTGGGGAGAGGAGAATACCTGCTGTGGGCCTGCATTAAGACAGTAAGAAAGGGACAGGGTTTTTCCACTCAAGGAGTGAGGGAGGAGCTTTTGAAGAATTTGGTGAAAGAGCCTGAAAAGAAGCCTAAACATAGGGCATGAGTGCTGGCAAAGGAAGTAGCTTGGGGTGGGGGACAAAGCAAGTGAGAGTTGGGCTTGAACTTTAGTATTCCGCATCAGCTCTTCAGTCTGCCTTGTATTTAAAAATAGAGCACACTGTGATGTATCCAGAATCTGACTTGAATCAGAACATTTCCAAAGATTGGGATTCTGGTTCGGACTTACTTTTGTCTGTTAGCAATGTCAGTGGCATATCAGTGCTGAAATTAAATATGAAGATTAATAGGAAAACCAGTAAAATATTTTTTTACTTTTTATGTTGAATGAAAGTCTCCCATCTTGGAATGCTTTTCACTTGTAACATACTTCAGAATTTGGCACCTATAGGCAGGGGGTTCTTAAATGTAGGGTAAAGTACTGTTCCCTCCCATTCTTGATTACTTAAAAATTCCTATGGCAAGTAAAGCAATTGCTTACCTGGAAAAGCAATATTAAAGTGTTTGTGCTTTTAAGCTTCTTTTAATGTAATTTGGTGTCTGAAAACAGTGGAACAAATACAGTGCTTCATAGGGATTTTTCACAGTGGAGAGGGTGACTTCTGGAAATTCTAATGGTGCTGTCAGGTGCAGTTAATCTGAGAAAACCAGACAGTTGCTTGCCATATATAGATGTGAAATCTGCTTTCTTGTGCCACCTAGGATTTAATTTGGTTGTGATATCCAATTCTCTAATTCTGTGAGGATTTAGCCTTGAGCTAAGCATCAGACAATCTGTGTGTGTTTGGAGCTTGTGGCCACCACCACATTAAATTTTCCAGTAAATTCAGAACTTCAAGGGTTTTTGTTTGTTTAACCCATGCAGATCTTTGTTTCTAGAAGCATTGAAATGAACTCCGATTTAGAGCGGGAGGAGGTGATAGCTTTTCTATCATCTTCATTAGTCTCATAGCTTGAAAACAAATTTGAATGTATTGTCTTCTCTTAGCATTTTCTAGTTTCATTAAAAAATTTTGCATGAGGAAGCAGGATTTTTTTCTGAAAGAATCAGTAATTTAAGTTGGCAGTATTTATTAGGCATTCAGCTTTTACGTACACATGAATTTTCTTTTGAGGACACCCATTTTTCCAGGAAATAATGCTGAATTCTCTTAATGTGTTAAGTTCTTCATCCATTAATGCTGTCATCACTTATTAGTCCTGATATACTTCTTCGGGAAAATACTTAATCCAATCATTTCTACTTAAATCTAAAATAAGAGGCAGCAATATGCAGTGCCTCATGTCAAAGTATTTAATGCTGATTAGAAAAATGAATAATCCTGTACTGTGTAAAATGTATTAAATTGTTCTGATTTGTTTTATTGGCAGATTGGCAAAATGAGGTATGTCAGTGTTCGTGACTTTAAAGGGAAAGTCCTAATTGATATTAGAGAATACTGGATGGATCAAGAAGGTGAAATGAAACCTGGCAGAAAAGGTGAACTTCTATTTTGTGTCATTGGTTGCATAGCATTAAAATATATTTAGCTTAGCTTTATTGAGGAAAGTGGAAAATTGTTTAACTTGAAGATTCATATGGTTCACAGCTAAATAATGAGGCCATTCTTGATTCTAATGCAAAATTTTAATGTGCCTTGATTATACTTTCTTCTTACCTGATAAAATATTTTAGAGTTACTTAGAAGATGTCTTAATGGGAAAGCGTTAATATTGGCGGGGGGAAGGGGGAATCTAGGCACATGCCGCAGTTCTGGTCCTTTTCCTTCTCTTCTCCCACTCCTAAAAGTCTATTTTGGTTCCTTGGCAATGAGGATATGGTCCACAGTTTTAGAACAGGGTATAAAACCCCGTAACTTAAAAATAAAAAGACCATTTTTAAACAAATTAAAGCAAATTTAAACCTGAATTTACAACTATCTGCCTGAAAGTTATGCTTTAAATTTTTATAATTTAAAATGAAAAAAGTTTGTGTTGCAGTGGATTGAAGTTAGGCACCATGTCTAAATAGCATTCATCAAAACAAGCCTGCATTTTATCTCTTTAGAAACTATAGATGGGAAAAGTATTAAAAAAAATTCTGTAACCTGGGCTACTGAATAATTGTTGCATTTTCTCTAATATCTTAGCACTTCTTATTTCCCTCAGATAGTTTTAAGTTACCATTGCATGAGATAATAAACTGCATGATAACCTATTATCAGTTTTGGAGCTGAACAGGGTTCAGTTGAGAACACTAAAGTGGAAACACAACTGCTGTGATACAAATTTTGCAGAAAAATTTTGTTTAATTTTTACAGTGTTATACCAGTAAGTTATAGTACTAAACATTTTTTGGGGAAACCTACCGTGTCTCCAAGATGCAAAAGTCCCATATGGGAATATTTTTGAAGAGATTCCTGTATCATTTGGAAGTATTAAGAAAGGATCACATGCTGTATAAGCGTAACAAAGACAATGCAGGGCTTGGTAGCAGGAATGAAACAACATTTTGAAAAGTGTGCTACCCATGCCAAGGATGACATTGAAGATACTGTTTCTCTGTCAGTCTGAATATTCTGGATCTTTTGGTGAGTAATGTTAGTGTTTTTATTACATTTTAGAAAAATATTTAAAAACAAAGTTAAATATTGCTGGGTTATTTTCCTGGGGGGGGTTATAACAAGAAGCAGAGAAATTTCGTGTCATCTGAATGAGAATTTTAAGTGTTTGAAGGTTAGAAGTTTGTCATTAAAGGCTCCATTCAGTGCCTGTTCATGTTTAGGGAAAGGCTCCCATTGACTATAGTGGGCATGGGACTGGACCATGAGAGAATATCAAAGGTGGCAGTGCAGTGGGGCATCCATAATATAATGGAGATGTCCAGGTATCCATTTTGATTTGACAGCCTTGTACTGCTGAGTTTTGAACTTGACACAGACATTCTGTATGAACTAGCTTAGGCAATGGAGTAAAACACCAACCACAAGCAGGTTGAACTACTATACTGCTGGTATAAACATCATTTGAGCAAAACACCATACGTAATTTTTCAGTTTTTTGAACTAAATTTCTTGAAATGTCCAATTATTAATCCTCAATTCAGACTAAATCCATTGAAAGTGTGAAGTTTTAAAAACTAACTGCTTTGAATTATCTGAGTACAGATAAACTATCAACGTCTGTTAACCTCTTAGGTTGGGACTAGGCATGAGAAATTTAATTCCAAAATGTTAGTTGAGGTGAAAATAGGAGTTTGGAATGCAATGACTATTCCAATTTATATTTTATAGTGGTGCAATTCAGATCTGGAACACAACACAAACAATGGCACTTTCTCATAATCTTTCCTTGTGTCTTATGGCACCATTTTTACTGAGCCGTTCCTAGTATCTGTTGCCAGCTGGAGAGGGACAGAGTTAAGGTATACACCATCCCTGCAACACAACCTTAACTTTGTATTTCCTGGTTTTCAGAGGTTTAAGTTTAGCCACTCTCTCCACATTCTGGAAGGGCACGAGGCAGCACTGGGCAACTTTATCTGTGTGTCAACGAAGTTTTCAGGCAGTTAATTTTAGAATTATACAGGTGAGATGAATGACCACTTTCTGCATTGTTGTTAGCTTCATCATTACCACTATCTGATGCATCTGGCAGGAGCAGTACAACTGAACTTGTTAGAACGCTTGTTTGGTGCACAGTCAAAGAAATATCCATTTTCATCATCCAAAACAACCATGGACTACTTTGTAGTCAGTATTGGTATTCTCAATGAACAGTTCATAGTTGAAGATTGCTTGGTTCATATAAGGGGCTAATTTTTCTTATAACTTTTTCCGAAGAGTTTGAGATGGTTCAAGCTTTGACAAGGATCAGGAAAAATGTCAGCGGTACCCAAAATTAAATTGTAGATATGTAAAGCACTTCCTTGATTCAACTTTCTTTCCTGCATTTTCAATCTAAAGTACCAGTACAGATGTTAAAAGTAAAAATGAAATGAATGCTGCTATGACATGTACATTATAATAATTTTTCAGAGCTGGAAGAGAACCACCCAAAAATGTGTATTTTGCTGCTGAACTCAGCGAAGTTAAACCCGTGGACTGGTGAAAATGTCTGGCCAGTCTCAGATGTAGAGCTCAGAAAATAACTTTTTTTTTTTCTCCTGGGGTTGAAGCTACTGCAGGTGTACAAACGACATTATCTAAATCTTGACTACTTTGTTCTAATTTCAGAAACTGATAATGTGTAAAGGAAGTAGGTAATCTATCTTGAACAATTAATCCAGGTGGCAGATGAAGACACTGTATTCTAGAAAATTTCTCAGTGCAGTTTCTCTCATTTATTTAGTCACAGTTTACTAAAACGGAAAAAAGAAACTTGTTTTGTCATTACCTACTATTGATTTAGTGTACATATCACACTAGAGCTTGGTTTCAATTGAGGTTTTGTTACTTCAGCAATTGGGAAAGCAGAGGCCAAGCAGTAACATTCTAACATGTTGGTTTTGCTGTAATCCCAACAAAATTTACTTGTACTGTCGTTTCAGGCTAGGATTTTCAGTGGAGCCTAATGACTTAAACATGTAAATCCCATTTAAATTCTGTGGGAATAAAGTGTCTAACTCCATAAGCCCCTCTGTAAAACCAGCATGACTAAACAAATGTTGACTAAATCAGAAATGTTAAGTCACTAAATTTGACTACCACAAATTCTCTGAAGAAGTTTGGTAAAGTAAGTTGCTGCTGGAACAAGCCATGTATGTTACTAAGACCATGTCTATATGTGCTGCAGCAACGCAGCTGTACCAATACAGCTGCAGCTCATCTGATGAAGATGCTCTGTGCCAAAGGGAGAGAGCTTTCCTGTCGCCATAAAAAACGCACCTCCACGAGTGGCATAAGCTGTGTCAGCGGGAGAAGCTCTTCTGCCGACATAGCGCTGTCCACATGAATGCTTATATTGGTGTAACTTACGTTGCTTGGAGGTGGAATATTCACACCCCTGAGTGGCATAAGTTTTACCGATATAGGATGTAGTGTAGACATAATTTTTTTTAGGTAAGTGATATTTAGGCTATGTAGCCAACACTAATATTACATCAATAGACTGTTTTCTCTGTTATCAATTATGTGATGCTTCCTTTCGGAAACAAAACTAAAAGCTAATCTTAAAATCAGTATTGTCTTTCTGCTATTGATTTAAATTGCCTTGACTGAAATCAGCACACTTTGAAAACCTATGCTAGATTAGAATACTTGATATTTTGTTGGTCTGTTCATCTAGAAATGAAGTTGGTGACTATGGTAAGAATTTTGAGAGAGCTTCATAAATCAGTTTGTATATTTTCTGACTGAAAGGGCTTAATGCTGTTTGATATTTTCCAGTGCAAAATCAAATATTCAGTTTCAGTAAAGTGTTCAAGATTCTTTAAAAAACAAACAAACCTGTCTTTTCTGAAAATTTGATAAAACTATGTGTGACAGCATGTTCAGACTAGCTGGTGTCCAAAACATGAAAGAATGTAGGAAAAGTTTTTTTTCCCTTTAGATTAAAGTTCACAGGTGGCTGACAACAGCAGTACTAATGTTTAATATTCTCAAATAATAAAAATATTTGGTACCAAAAAAGTCCTGATCCTGTTTCCCTTGGGTCCTGTCACAGGTTTTCCCAAAGTGCGTCTAGATTGCTCCTTGAATGAATGGAGACAAAATTGAATAAATCCTTAAATAAACAATGGGTTAAAAGTATAAGAAACATGCGTAGAGGCATGAGTAAGATTGGTGCATGAGAAGATATAGATAAATGTCATACTATTCTGTGTGGTGGGAGAGAAGAACGGTGCAGCACAGTGCTGCTTCAAAAATGTTTACATGCTTAACGTACAGAATTTAGTTTTAACAAAGAAGATTAAGGGGTGACTTTAAGGAATGGGGAACAAGTATTTAATAATTGGCTCCTCAGTCTAGCCGAGAAAGGTGTAACACAATCCAATGGCTAGAAGTTGAAGCTAGCCAAATTCAGACTGGAGATAAGTCTTAAATTTTTAACAGTGGAGGTAACTAACCATTGGAACAGTTTATCAATGGTCATAGTGGATTCTCCATCACTGACCATTTTGAAATCAAGATTAGCTTTTTAGAAAACATCTATGTTCTAGGAATTTTGCAAAAGTTCACTGGGTCCTGTTGTACAGATCAGGCTAGTTGATCATTATAGTCTTGTCTGGCCATTGAATCTACGAACATGTGTGTGCAAACTCAATCCACAAACACATGGCTTTTATCACACTAAAGAAAGAAGCCTGGGCCTCTCCAGCTCATCCAGAGTTTTAGTGCAGCCTGCCATCAGGGCCACAGCTACATTTGTAGCTTCTTGTGATTCACATAACACCTGTGGATGGGTTTCTACAAAGATGCTGCACTACAGTTTGTATCTTCTCACATCCAAACAGAATCCATAAACAGACTAACCTCTTGTTTAGCCTGAAGTTAAATGTAAATATTCCAGTGAATAGTCAGATATTTTAGTTAATGTAATTATTCATTTAACACGCACTACAGCTAACATTGTTTGTTAGTTATGAAAATATTGATGACATCATAGTAAGATTGTTTTGGGTTCAGAGATTGTTAAAGTTGTACAAAATCTTGATCTTAGTTTTTCATACTGCACTAAGGATTTGTTTTTAATGCATTTCAGGTATTTCTTTAAATCCAGAACAGTGGAGCCAGCTGAAGGAACAGATTTCCGATATTGATGATGCAGTAAGAAAACTGTAAAGACAGCCATACAGAAACTTACTGTTTTAGTTGTTTTAAGCAGTCTTTTTACACATTGGCTTTTGTTTTCTAAAATACTTGTTTTCCAAGCTATTGTATATTTGGATTGCAAAACAATTTGTAAGATGAATACTTTTTTTTTATGTGCATTAAAAGTGTATTCTAAGTGAGGCTATTTGTGCATACTTTATTAAAAAGGAATGATTTGCTTTCAACACTGTAAAATAAAAACCAATCCAGTAATACTATATAACGCATAGCTGTTGGTGGCCTTCCAGCTAACAGTTTTTAGTCTCCTTTTCTTTAATTTTGGTTTCAGTTCAGTTAAAATATGTTCATATTAACTGTTAATCAGGCGACATTAAAAAAAACCTTGCCCTTATTGCAAATATTCGTAACTTTTTTATATTCGAGAATTCAACTCAGTCCAAATAATGAATATTTAAAATAGTTTTTGTAGATAATCTTAAATACTGTTTTTGAAAATTCACCACATTATTCTTATGTAGATAAGTACATAGGTATTTGGCATTGCTTGCATGAAGTATTACACTAAACAAGCTTATGTGATTATCCCACAATAACACTTGGACACAAGCCACATTCTTCCTTTTCATTCTTCTGCAGGTCATTTGACTTAGAAAAGATAATTAGTCTTTATTCTTAGACACTAGATTTTTAGTATGGTATACATACACATGGTAAGATTTTTACCTCAAAATATGATTTATTAAGACTGTATTTCAAAGGTCCCAGCTTAAACAGATGAAGTAATAACCTTACTTATCTACTCTTTTCAAGCTTTGCATTAGATTAAAATAGTTTTTGAACATACTATCTGATATCCAGGGATTATTCTAATTGGCAAGAACCCTTACCCTGCCTTGATAGAGCTTTTAGTCATGCTCGACAATCCTGCTTAAGCATGGCTAAAACTACCGGTAGGCTATAATACAGTTGGTGTAGATTGAACCAAGCGGGGTTAAAACTGGCCTAGCCAAGGTTTCAGTGTGGGCTAAAACAGTTCTGCTATGTCCATATTGCTTGATCAGGCCACATGTGTGGCTTACATGTGCACAGTTGTTTTAGCCTTTTGGGAAGGGCATGTTTGGTGCTGGCATACAGCAGATCATGATTTTAGTGAACTTCACTTGGCTATCTGCATCCTGATCTGAAGTAGAGTGATGCTTCTTTTCAGTAGGAGGTGAGGTAGTGTAGATGCAACATAACTGAAGAGAATTTTGATAGATGACTTAAGATACTTTTATGCTTTCCCTTTCAATATTCTTATTACAGTTGGGTGTGAGCTTATAAAGGGCACTCCTATATTAAAAGTTAACAACAAAAATAAGGTGTGAGATCAGTTAGTGGGTGAATTAACACTACATTGAAGAAATTTATGTTGGGGGCGGTGCATGTGTGTGTATCTGATTTTCAAATTGCTTTAATCCAAGGAAGAAGATAGCGACTTCATGAAAATTGCAGTTTTGGGACTGTATATCACTGAATGTACAAGTACTGAATCTGCTGTATTTTTCCCATTTAATGTTAAAACTATTGTATTTTTCAACATGTTTAGATAACTGGTTTTTGCTATTCATTTAATTTCAGAATATCTTAATACTGTTTGCTGTCTAGGTCATAAGAACATAAGAACAGCCGTACTGGGACAGACCAAAGGTCCATCTAGCCCAGTATCCTGTCTACCGACAGTGGCCAATGCCTGGTGCCCCAGAGGTCATGAGGAATTTATTGATATTGCAGATGTTCAGAGGCCCTGTTTTGTTAAGTGCCATATACACTGACTATCCCTGCCCTGAAGAATTTATAATCTAGTACACATGATACATGAAGCCTGAGGAAAAAGGGATCTAATTAAACATACTGTTTAATTTACATATGCAGTATCATATTTTCCTCATTTGCTCCTTAACCCAGTCAGCAATGAATGATTTCAAATGCGACTAATCAAAGAGGTGATTTAGTCCCTTGTCACTTTGAAAAACTTTGAGTTCTTAAAGTGCTATTTGTGGGTTGGAGGGGAGGACGAGGCATGTCTGAGGGTAGCAATCTCATCTTTAGCTCCACTCTCCTTTTTGAATAATATCCTGTTGCTTGCAATGTATCTGCACCAGAAAGAATAGTAAATAAGTACCTGCCAAAATTCCACAGAGAAATGAAGGAAAATAATTGCTTACAGACCTGTATTCTTGTTAACATTACTTATTCTATCTTTGGAAGAGTTTTTTTGCCTACTTTTGCAATATTTATATCCTAATAGATTTTATAGTATGCAAAATCTAACTAGAAATCTCACCATTAAATCAGAAACTTTGTAACTTCAGACTTCACCTGCCTTACTTCAGTTGTTTCATCTGGTTGTTTTGAAGAGCAGAATTGTAACAACGGAGGGAGCAATGTAATTTCTCCTTAGACGGATTAGTGGTTGTCACAGCACTGGGCCTTGATGTTCTTGCATGGTAACTGTGGGTTAGGGCGCAATATAACAAATGTGTGTGGGTTAAGGGGAGATCGGAAGTTGAGTTCTCTGGTGTTGGGAATGAATGAGAAGGCTTAATAGGGTTGGTGTTAGTTTTATTGTGGAAACAATGCTGGCAGGGATTTCTAGAAGCAACTATTTTTTTAGCCAAGGAGTATTGGCTCTTTTTACAGACAAATTACAGTTTTAGCAGGGATAATTTGAATTCACTGAAGCTGTTTGATTTTACTTAATTCTTGGTTTTGTTGGCATTTTTTACTTTTTTACATTAAAAGTTTGGTACAGATTCATTTTACTTAAAACTTACTACATTACAAAAACAATTTTTTTAACCTGCCAGCCATATTTCCTTCTGAAATATTTTCATAAAGCTTTGTCTATTTTACTTCAGAGCCTTCCATTCCCCAGCCCATTTACAGCAATAAAATGCTCCTCCAAAAATACGAAGTAATTCATCAGCCAGTCAGTTTCAAGATTTAACTCAACATGCTCTGCAAAATAGAATGTTTCGGAACATGAAGAAAGCTGGAGTGCTGAATGGCTGATGTGGAGGTATTTATTTAACAATGGTGAATAAGTGTTCCATCTTAAGAATTCTGCATCAAGAATTACAAGAAGTATTTAAACTGCATCAATTTACATCATATGACTATTACCCAATGCTATATCATTCTGGTTTTAAAAACAAATTGTTTGGAAGGATTGTATGTCACATCTAAAATTTGGATAATTGACTTGCGAATTAAATAAAAATTGGTGGTTATAAGTGTACTTGTGAAATTAAAGTGCACAAGAGAGAAAGATGTTACATAGTATTGACTTCTTCATATATTCCAGTTAAATAGGAACCAGTAAGAAGAGAGAGATGTGCAAAAGTTTGTACAAGTTTGATCATCAGTATTTATATAGTGCATAACTGCAAAATATTAAATCTGTTCCGATCCTTAAGATCTCAAAGTGCATTGAAAGTTTTGCCGAAATATAGTCTCAGTGCTAAATGAATACCTCAGAATGTACATTATCCTTATGTACAGGTATTCATTTCATTCCTATTAAAATTAAACAGATGTAGTAGTAATCTGATATTGACTGTTAACAGAAATACCCCAGCAACAATACTTTGTGTTATCTGTAAGCAAAAAAAATGTACAAAACAACAGTTGTAATTCTAGTAACTAAAATGTCATTTTGTTAACTGTGTGGAATGTATGTATGTTTTGGTGGTATCTACCATGGAGATACCACTGGAAATATGAACCATCCAATTGTAATTATCTTAAATGTTCAAATAAAAATTAAAAATGATATGCATGATATCAGTTTCAAGATCTGAAAATGAATGAACGTGATTCAAAAATAGGAAATTAATGACAGTTTAAATGTAATCTTTAGATTTTGATTTGCACCGTTATTAAGGCGGCTATTCTCTCACGGTGGTCGTGGAAGTCACAGATTCTGTGACTTTACGTGACTTCCATAGTGGCTGCTGCAGCTGACTCCAGGGCTGCCCGAGCAGCTGGCCATGGGGCCGGCTGCTCAGGTGCCCCATGGCCAGCTGCTGCTGGAGCAACCCAGGGCCGGCTGGCCCCGGGAACTGCCTGAGCAGCAGCTGGCGCAGCTGGCACAGCTGGTCCTGCAACCGCCTGGGTAACGGTCCTGGGGACGGCCCTAGCAGCAGCAGAGGTCCTGGGACACCCAGAGGCCATCCAGAGAGCAGCGGCCTGGGGCAGTCAAATCCCCTCTCTCCAGGGCCGGCTCCAGGCACCAGCCCACCAAGCTGGTGCTTGGGGCGGCACCTGGAGGGGGGCGGCGCAGCGCTCCGGCCCCCGGGGAGAGTGGGGCCATGGCCGGGCTCGCCGCCCTCCCCCCCGGCGCCCTCCCCCCGGCCGCCGGGGGGAGAGAGGAGCCTCCACCGGGGCCCGCCGCCCTCCCCCCAGGGCCCCGGCCCCCCCCCCCCTCGCGGGGGGGGGCAGCCGGAGGCTTTTTTGCCTGCGGCGGCAAAAAAGCCAGAGCCGGCCCTGCCTCTCTCTTCCCTCCCCCTCCCACCCCCCAAAAGCAGGGGCCACCCAGAGTTGCAGGGCCCCAGAAGTAGAGATTTAGTCAGGTATTTTTGGTATAAGTCATGGGCTGTGAATATTTGCCCAGAAATATCCGTGACTTAAATCTTAGCGTTGACCATTATGAATGGAACAGTTGATATCTCTTGCAACTATTAGTTTAGTTTGCAGTCTCAGGGTACGTCTACACTTACCGGAGGGTCCGGCGGCAGGCAATCGATGTTCTGGGATCAGTTTATCGCGTCTGGTTTAGACGCGATAAATTGATCCCGGATAGATCCCGGAAGTGCTCGCCGTCGACGCCGGTACTCCAGCTCGGCGAGAGGAGTACGCGGCATCGACGGGGGAGCCTTCCTGCCGCGTCTGGACCCGCGGTAAGTTCGGACTAAGGTACTTCGAATTCAGCTACATTATTAACGTAGCTGAATTTGCGTACCTTAGTCCGAAGTGGGGGGGTAGTGTAGACCAGGCCTTAGGCAGAGAATGCTGCATTCTTTTACCCTTGGTTCATGTTTGGAAGGTTTTCCTCAAAACCAAAACATTAGACTATAATGTGAAATACGATTCTGCAGCAAGCTGTGGATGCAAAATCACAAGATATGCAGGTCCCTACC